TGCAACCACAAGGCTGGGCCTGGGGGAGCACAAACTGCACTTATTCATTGACTAAGATAACTGCACTAGCTGCGTTTCCTCTTGTCCCCACTTTGCATAGGCATCTGTCTCAGTAGCAATTACATATTCATTAACAGACACATAAATCCAGTTGCCAAGTCGCAATGTGCCTGGAGGTTTAATACAAGGTTAGCAGGAAATCAGACCCAATATCTTGACTGAGCAGAGGTCCTGCGCCAGCGTCATCCTCTAATGACTCCAGAAGTACCTGAAGGCTGGCATGGTAAGCTGACCCTCATTAGGGGGACATCGCAAATGAACTCAGACTGTGAGCCCTGAGACAATTTGATGAATATCTCATCTTTAGCCAAAGTTAATGCAAAGTTGCTTTTTTTGGGCAGCTCATAAAAACAAAGTGCATATGATTTGATCAAAGCAAAGTTCAGAAATGTAAGCTATAGCAACCTTTCAAAGTTGTTCCTGTTTTTTTTAACCTAAAACACCCATTACTTATTTAAACAACTGGTTAACTTAAAACATTAAGATAACCCCAGATTTAAGTATGTAGTTACTCAAGTAAAGGAGAAGTGTAACTGAATAAAGACCCTGTGGTTTGTACCTCAGCACAAGGATTAAGAAAACAGGTCCTGTTCTGAAACCCTCCTGCCAGAGACAGCAGCATCTGGAAAGCTCTGATAAGGAGACATTTCTAACTGGTCCTTTGAGAGATGCAATTAAAGTGGAATTCAAAGACTTTGGCAAGAAGCCAAAGAATACAGTAAGCAGTACCAAAGCGTGCACACGTACCTGGTACGCAGAGACACACTTTTCAAAAGCTTGCACAACCTGCATGTCACTTCGTGTGACCTCAGAAGGGATCCTGTCATGTCTGCGGGTACTGTTAATTTGCTAACATAGGTAGCTAGGATTAGTACAGCTGTAGGGGAACTCTTCGTTTTCAGCACTGAAGCAGTAGTCATCACTCTGTTCATGAACCAAATACTAGGGTTGGGATTTTTATGCAATATTCAAGGTGTTGATGAACCTAGTGGCAGTTCAGAGCAGCCTGATATCACAGCAGCATCTGTTTATTATGCTTTTGTAAAGGATGTTGAGCACCTTTAAAGCTGACAATACTGTTCATCTGTCTTATATTGCAATGGCAAAATACACAACATCAGACAAGTAAAAGCAGCACTTTTGAAAAAAGAAAGTTTAACCATCATGCATTGTGCATCTTCAATGCACAGTATGTATCAACCTGAAACGGCTGCTCTAACCAAACAGTTCATCTCACTGTCCTATTCAGTTTGCTCTTGTCCACAACCCTGTGCCTCCCATATTTTGAAGAAGAGGTATTGCATGAAGCTGTAAAACACAAAAATCCCCTCATATCAAATGGAACTACTGCCTTAGTTTCCCTTTCTATGGGAAGTTTGTCTTCCGGTTAAATTAAAACACCTTCTCTAATGTGAGTCTAAAGGTACAATATTTGACAGAGGTCTATGCACAAAAATCCAGAAAGGTTATAAGAGTTTTATATTTACAAATATCGAACACATTGCCCTACAAAAGTTAGGAAATGTTCCAATTACAGTTACCTGGGCAGCCTTAAATGTCACCTTTCTGTTAGGATACAGTCATTAATTTCAGGATCACATACTATCATTTTCATATGATTTCTATTTACAGCTTAGGAAAGGGCTGCCCTAGAAATGATCTGTGTTCTGTGATTTGCTTAGCTGCCTGCTGCTTCTTGCTCTTGCAAAGACTTAGAGTAAGATTACTTTCCAACTTGCAGTCAACATATCATCACTTCTATGGGTTGTTTTTCCTTTGAAGTCATGCTAGCCAAACTACATACTATCTTACCGGGTGCAGGCAAATGCCAATATATCTCCATAGCTATGTAAAATATAAGGGGGGAATCAGGCAGGTTCATGTCAGCAGTTACCAACCTTCATTTGCCTGACACTGTTTAGCATCAAAAAAGGTCTGGGTTCAATTACACAAGGATTCCTCCGTGTATAAGCCTGATCCATCATCCAGAAACCTGGGAAATCAAATTACATCATCCACACACTCTTGCATTTGGGCAACCTTTTCCTACTTGCAAGACCCAGAGCATAAGGGGGTGAGCAATCTCATCTAACAACAGGAAAACAAATCCAGTAAATGAAACAAACACTTCCAGGCTGCCTCAACAAACATTTGTTTTTAGTTCTAGTTTTAGTGCTGCTCATGTAACAAGTAGCTGCTGAGGTATCCATTTGCTATCCTCTTCCATTAGTGCTACTCACTAGTTGCTGCTCAGGTTAGAAGAAATCCACACATCACAACCAGTCCAACTCAGAGATAAGCAGTTTGAGAGAGTTTTAGTACCTTTTCCAGCTGAAGCAATCATAGGTTGAGGGGCAAGCACACCTGCACCCAAACCCCTCAACATGGTTATGGCTCAGGGTCCAAGCAGTCCCAACTCCTCAGAGCTGCTTGCATGCCACTGCAGCTCTGCTCCATCGCTGCAATGCTCCTTGCCAGCTCAGAGAGACACCCACACGAGTGACCCACATGAGCCTTATGGTGAGAGGTACTCCTGGGAGGAAAATAAATCTGCAGTCTTGAGTCACCCAAGCTTCAGCCTTGTTTAACATAAAATTTCTGTCCTTAGTATCCAGTGGGAAAGCCTTTCCTCCCCGATGCCAGAAGCTCGCACATGGTTCTCACTCTTTGAGGCCTCTGTTCCTCAAACTACGCTGTGGTCCTTGTCTGCACATACAACTGGAGTTGGTAACCAGCACCACACCCTTCAAACCTGCAAGGGGCCCAGGTGCCCTTTGCTACTGGATAATGAACAACGAACACATGTAAACCTACCATGTTATTTTGAAAAATGAGCCAGTCTGTTAATTTTCTGAATAATAATTACCCACCTTACATCTGACCTCAGCTGATTCTGTGCTAACCTGAGAACTTCATCCTTTCTTTGTCTGTTTGTCTGTTCTCCGTTTACCTCTAATTTATCTTTTTTTTATTCTGTCCTTCCTGTTCTTGTCTCACCTTTTCCACAGTTTTTGCTATGATGGTCTGGTACAAAAGTAGGGAGTCTGTTGAGTCCGTTAGAAAGCGTAGCCATACTAGCAAGAGACTTGTTCTCTTATAGACACTGGAAGATGAAATTTGTATTGGCTGTTTTCAGCCAAGTAATTTTGCTGTTGAAGGTCATATTCAAGTGCAGAGAAAAAACCACACCAAACAGCAAGTTCCAAATGGATTTGGTCACTTCTTATCACAGCATTTGCAATACACTTTTTATCTCTGAATCTCCAGCGTTTAATCAGAATTATTCGTAAATCAGTTCAATTTCACGCTTTCAGTCTGTGCCTTACAAAACTGCCTCCCGCCTCTCACTCTCCCATATTTGGCCCTCTCTAGAAATCGGTTCTCCATGTCTAAAGCTGGTTCTTCCATCTCAGCATGACACTGTGAAGCTACACAGAGCAGTGCTAGCACCCTTTGGGTGCTGAGACAAACCCCATTGCCTAAGGCTGTAAGGGTTTGTTTCTCCATACTGAAGATGCTGGGAATCCCACCACCACTTATAAAAGGAAGGAACAGGAAAAACTTTGTGCTGCTGATAGTTTTGCATCAGCTCTTTTCTTCACAAGGACCTCTTCCTTAGCACTACCCAAAAGACTTTGGTCTGGCATTGCTTTTACTTGCATAAAGACAAAACATTCTTCCAGCAAATTCCTGAGGTCCTCAGTTCACTGCACATTCCCAGAGGATAGCACTAAATGCCAGCAAACAAGGGGTCACACCACCCTAGTAGGGCTTCCTTTGGAAACCCAAGCTGGGGTATTACATCCTATATTTTTTATAACAGCCCAGCAATCAGTTCCTCCCTCAGTGAACATGAACTGTAGGGACAGCTTGTGCCTCCCTGTGAGTGGATTCAAACCCAGGTCCAACAAACAAGTTCCTGGCTGATTTAATCAAGAGAGGATCTCTCTTCTCATCAAAGTTGGGCTGCTACCCAGAAGGGAACATGGAAGAGGAAAGGTGAGTTTGCAGCTCCGTCAGGGCTCATAGCTGAAGAGGTCCAGGAAACACCTGTATGTGGTTGCTTATGTTACCACCTGTATCTGTGAAAGGAGGAGAGCTCAGAAGCCTAGTTTGCTTGTTGGGGTTTTCCGTGTGTATGTTATCAGTGGGATTAGTAAAAGATACCATATCTCCTCCTAAATTTTGTCTTGCTCACAATATATAAAAAGGGTTTTCAGGACAGCGACCAAAGACCAAGGCTCCTTCATTGTGTCCCAAAAGATCTACACTGGCCTCCTTTCCCTTCACTTGCCCTGAATCCATCGTTTAGTTCATTTTTTTTGTCCAGTACCATGGGGAGAAAAGCCAAACAGGACTGTTGTTCTCCTCCTCAGATTTGGGATTGCATAGTACACCCTGGTAGCTGTGCTATATTCATAAGACGTGCAGGTTTGACTGATTCCAGGAGGTGGGAATTTAACACCAGCCTTCTACATACTGGATAGGTGTTCTCTGTTAGGCTAGTCCATAAAAGAAAAGGTGTTGCAATTTCCATTCATTCTGCGGGGTGTATTTTAAAGGTTGCCTTTTGAAAGCAAAACCAGGCTTATTTTCTCACTGGGTACTTACCAAGTTAATGGTATTAACCACAAGTATTATTATAAGATGACATCCATCGTCTTCTTAGTTTCATAAAGGAAGGAATGTGCTGACATACTTCCAAGCTTAAAAATTAACAAAAAGTACAAAGGGGGACATCTTTTTTCAAAACCAGTGTGCTCCCCTTCCCTGCTATATGAGCAATATTGAAGGATAACCACAACAATATTGGGAAGTTAAATATTTATTTCTGCAGTCAATAAGTTCCCTGCAGAAAAGTTAAAGCTTGCATGGACCTTCCTATAAAGGACAGTGTCGGATGCCTCTAGAGCAGAAGCCTCCAGTTTACTTCTACCGAAATGGCTCTTCCGTTTCAGTGTTTTTACCAATGTACTTGGATGTTTCTTCTTCTGACATTATCTTTAACCTTTGCTGAAGGTGGAAAGATCCTGGTGATACCTCAGGATGGAAGTCACTGGCTCAGCATGCGCCCAGTGGTGGAGAAACTCCAGCAAAATGGACATGAAGTTGTTGTGGTTGTACCGTCAACAAGTTTGTATATGAAGCCAAAGGAGCCTCAGAATTATACAGTGAAAGTATATCCAATACCTTATGGAGAGGAACATTTAGCTGTTACGCTCAAGTCATTCGTTAATGCTCATTTTATTGAACAATCTGTTTTGAATATTATTATTACAATGTATCAAAGCATGTTAGAAGTTTCCAGGTTCTTTTTCACCAACTGTAAGAGCCTTTTGCACAATGAAGACATGATGCACTATTTGAGAGAGAGCAAATTTGATGTGGTTTTCACGGATCCAATTCTGATGTGCGGACCGATAATTACTGAGTATCTTTCAGTTCCTTCTGTCTACTTCTTGCGGGGGTTTCCTTGCGGTATGGATTCTGAAGCTACCCAGTGTCCAAATCCTCCTTCCTATGTCCCCAGACTCTTCCTAAATAATTCAGATAGCATGACATTTGCTCAACGCATGAAGAACATGCTGGTCCATATGCTGGAGTTCGTTTACTGTAAGCCTATATTCGCTCAATTTGAAGAACTTGCATATGAGATTTTTCAAAAGAAAGTGACAGCTACAGACCTTCTAAGCCGTGGATCTGTTTGGCTAATGAGATATGATTTTGTGTTTGAATTCCCGAGACCGGTGATGCCAAACATGGTTTTTATTGGAGGGATAAACTGTGATCAGAAGAAAAAACTGTCTCAGGTATAAAATTTTATTTTGTTTTTATTGAAAAGAACATAAATATTTAAACATCCTTACATCAAAACCTAACTGACAACACCTTGGTATTTAAAGATAGAAAGCTAATGAGAAATCCTGTATGATGCAGAAATGTTATTTCCTACTATCTAGCATTCAGATTAAGTCATATCCTGGCAAACCTAAAGTCTTACCAGATATGAAAATTTAAGTGACATGTAACTTTTATGCAAATGATAAGCTGTTTTGTTGAACTGAAACTCACCTGAATTTTGGTGAGTTGCAAACTTTCCTCCCCAACAGGAGCCAGACTTGGTAGCTTCCTTTTCATCTAAGTTTCTTATACCATGTCCATCTCCGTAAGAGCTGTTCCTACAACCAAAGCCAGGCTCAGAGGACTTGACTGTATTGCTCTGAAAGAGCCTGAAGAACATCCATAAGTACAGTCTGCTTTCTGTCTGCCCCATGGTGTCATCCCTTTCCAGCTGTCTCATGGACTGTCCGTCCATACCTCTGAATACCCATTCTCCTTTCATAGACATTGAAGGTTATAGGACTTAACATTTTATCTATTTATCAGTTCTTTTTCTGTCGTGTTCATCTGCCAGATTGATTCATTTACATCTTTCCCGTTATCAATATCAAACCCCCAAAAGAAAGCCTTTTAAAAATGTACCTTACCCTTCTTTCATAAGGTTTTAAGCTTTTCTGGGCATGGATGTCTTCTCTAAATTCCCATTCAGATTTTTGGGTACCAACCAGGTCTCTGAATCAAGTACAGCATAATTTATAGCAGATCAAAAGCAGGAAAGGGATATTCAAGTATTGCAAATTGTGAGTGCCCCTGAAACAGAGTGGTGTAGGAGAAAGCCCTAATACCCTCCCCTTTTGTCCAGATAAGTACGTTTAGTGCTTGTGTTGGAAGTGGCAGAGCCAATCCGCTTCCCAGGACAGTCTCTAGTGCCACTTGGTTCACTCTAACTGGTTATATATGTTCGCATGAAGGAAAAGGAGTAGCAGTTGCTCACAAGGGGTCTTTCAAAAGGACATGGAGTGAGGAGTAGGAAAGATTGCTGGTTGGATATTAAAGACCCAAGCAGATGGCTGTAAATGCCCCACACGGGACATGCATGACTTTCTTCATTTGTCAGTCTAGCTTGAACGCATCTTCTTCTAGTGTTCATGTGACAGCCTTTTCAGAGGTTATGAGCAACAGGTCTGTTTCTGTGCATCATGTTCTCCTGCGCTGTTTGAAAATTCCCATTAAGTTAATCATGTGTCGTAAACTACCGGTATGGGGACAGTGCGGGTGATGGAGCTGGCTGCTCTTTTTGGAGGGCAGGTTCTCAAAAAGGCCAAAGCTTTCCTACCAGGCTTGAAAATAAGCATGCAGAAACTGCCTGTGAAAGAAAGCTCCACCAATGATGTAGAGCCCTGAATGCTTTGGAGGAGCAAACTGTATCCCAGAGGCACCTGCCCAGCCACCTGCTTATAAACTTCTATGGTGAGAGGTTATCACCCACATTTAAAAACCGAGCAATTTACAACGAAGAAGGATCTGGCCCCACGGAGTTCATGAACTGTTTCAGTCATGAACTGAACTGACATGGGCTGTGAACTAGAAACTTGTTGTTGGTTGATGTTATCTGAGGTACAAGGATGAACTGCTGTTTTGCAACTTTAGTTTTATACCTGATAGGATAAGGGGTTAGATGAAAGTTCTGTGTAGAGATGGGAAAAGATTTTCTGTTGGCTGCTTATTGTCAAAAAAAAGCAGGTTTGCATCAATGAAAAAAAAATTAATTTTTCTCAATTATACCAACTGGTTTTGGTTATTAAAACAAAACAAAACCCAAACCCCAGGTACGTCAACATTGACTTTTCATATTTATCTTTACTATAAGTTATGTTTCACTGTAGTACTTGCCTCAGTTTCATTAGAAAAAAATAAGCTTTTTAAAAAAATAGCAAATTACTACACTCTGTGACAACTCTGACAGCTTTCAGTGGCACAGAGGACTCCAACACTAGAGGGAAACAAGTAATTTTGGTGCACTCTTTATAGATCCAGTACTACCATGTGGGGTAATTCAAGCAGTGTTTATGTCCATTCACTCTGTGGATGCATTTCTTTCATGGATTCCCATGTACCGTAGAGCATGCTGTCAGTAAATGTCAGTAAAGGCTGCTGGGTTGCTGATGGTAAGGAGTGTCATGAGGCTGTGGTCCTAGTATGGGAAGAAGAAGAGGAGGCTGAGGCAGTGAACTGTAGTCTCAGCTTGGAAGAGCGAAGTGTATGATAGGAGACACACCTTTCTCATGCTCGTGCAAACCTGCTTTTGAAGTGCAAACCTCATCTCAACCTTTTATGATCATTAATCACCTACTGTGACTTCCGTCCCTTGCAAACATGTGAACACCTGAAATGTGAGGCAAGTCAAAAGGGCAGAGGTATCATTAGAAAGCGTTGCCACATGCTGTGTTTGCGTAGATGGAGCATAGCTACAAAAGTTTGCGAACCACCCCTGGCCTCTCTCGTGCATGGGTTCCTGTCCGTCCCACTGGCAACATGCTGGTGGCAGTGCTGCTCCCCTTCTTGTGCTGCCTGAGTCCTGCTGCTGCTGGGAAACTGCTGGTGATCCTGGTGGAGGGCAGCCACTGACTGAGTATGAAGGAAGTGCTGGCTGAGCTGAGCAAGAGAGGGCATGAAATAGTTGTTATCGCACCAGACAGCAAAATGCTGATAGATTCCTCAGGGATATATGAATTGAAAACATATCCTGTACCTTTCAAAAAGGAAGAGATGGAAGAACTTATGCACTCGCTTAGTGCAAACTGTTTTAGTGAAGAGCCTTTCCTGATGAGAATTTTTAATACCTGGGATAATTTGAGAAAGAGCTTTGCCATGCTTCAAGCTTCCTGCAGTTCCTTACTGTACAACAAAGAGATGATGAAATACATTGAAGAAAGTAAGTTTGATGCCATCTTTACAGATCCTCTGACACCATGTGGATAGATAATTACTTTGCACTTTTCTACCCCTATTGTTTTCTTCTTGCGGGGCATCCCCTGTGCTATAGACATTGACGCTGCTCAGAGTCCAGACCCACTGTCCTACATCCCACGAATGTTGTCACTCAATACAGATCATATGACATTCCTTCAGAGAGTGAAGAACTTCCTCATCAGCCTTTCAGAGTCTTTCACCTGCAGGATAGTCTTTTCACCATTTGAAAGCCTGGCCTCAGACTTTCTTCAAAAGCCGATGACAATTACACATCTTCTAAGTCATGGGTCCATTTGACTGAAGAGACTTGACTTTGTCTTTGACTATCCCGTGCCTGTAATGCCCAATATGATTTTCATTGGAGGCATAAACTGCAGACAGAAGAAACCATTATCTCAGGTCAGTGACTGGCTGAGAAAGGTATAACAAGGGAAAAGTTCTGGCAGTCATACACCTGCAAGATCTGGGTGAGGTCTAATAGTGTGTTTGATACGGACATTTCTTACCTAAAGAGATAATTTAGATTAACGCTTTCTGTATAGCTGATCCACATGAAAAACAGAATGGTATAGTTGATCAGGAGAACATGATGTGATTCCACCTCCTTTCCTTGGGTCTGCCCATCATGGAGATTTTGTATGGTGAGGGGATCATGTGCTATGCTGTGTTTAATTCCGGAAGTCAGGTACACAAACACCACCTTGCCCAGGAATTAATGCAAAAAGGGCAGGTGAATTATAACAGCTCTTCCAAAAATTCTTTGCCTCACATAAGAGACAGTCGAATATTTCTTCAAGAGCATTAGCGCTTATCCAGTCAGAAAAGTAACTCGCTGACTTATGTGCAATAGCATCATGTGCTCTCTTCTGTAACAGCAGTCTTGTGTTTGAGTTGAAGGCTAATGTTTTGTGAAGGTGAAGGTTTTGGTCTAACAACAGCTTCCATCACAAAAACTAGACAGCTGAATTCTCAACTGCATTTTTAGGAGACATCCAGTTTGGATATGGAAATGTTGATGGGTGGTTGCTTGGGCATCTGTGGTCTAAAAAGCACTTGATAAAGGCATGCATGTGATGTATGTTAGCTTGTTGCTGCATGTGATGTATATTCTTGCTTGCTTGTGCTATAAGTAGAACAGCCTCTTGTGAAGCCAGAGATTAAGTGGAAAAGGAGATATAAGAGGAGACAGCTCTCCTCAGCAGATGATGAATCTGTAGTTAGTGTCATCCAGCCGTTTCAGCAATAAATCACATTGTTTCTAGAAAGGATAAAGTTTTATCCTTTGTGAATGTTACTTAAAAATAAACACTTTCCTCTGTTCTTCCCTTCAACTTTTTTCACTTGCCAGCCTTCCCTGAGTCTTAGGGCATGGATTCCTCCTGCCTATCACCACTCTTACTCTTCCCCCAAATTCATAGGCTTTGTGAACATGAATGAGTGAAGCTTCACAAGAAAATAGATTTGCATTTTACAAGCCTGGCACATCTTCCCCAGAGCCAACCTTAACTGTCCTCAGGCTTTCCTTTACTCCTCCCGGTACTTCACCTGATGCTGCCCATTGAAAGTACTGTTTATTTCTGTTGAGCTGCTAGTGTTCAGATCCTGCTTTTTCACAAAAGTCTCTTCCAAATTGCCATCAACTCCCCACATGGCCACTTTTATCAGAGTAGTGCTTTTTCCTATCTGTTCTGTCTGTTGGAGCTGCTTAATGGCTCCTCAGGGACAAACCGAGGTAGATCCTCTGGGAAAGCAGCAACACGAGCCTGCAGGCAAGGCCGTGTGGCAGCTGCAGCTTAAAATCAGACTCTCCTCTGAAGACAAAGCTCACTCTCGTCTTGCTCAGCAGCAATAGTCAGCAGCAATATTTATTGCAGAAATATTGATTCTTCAGTCCTGATTTCTTATTGTCTTCCGACTATGCCTCTGAATTACACAGTTACATCTAGTGGCAAAATATAATCCTGCGGGTTGACAAGTTTATCACAAGTACTTATTAACTGCTCAGACATGGTATCTTACTTTTAGTTTTTCATCTGAAGTAATGCCACCACCTCTTCCCATTGAAAATCAATTCCTGGCCTGAAACAAGAGGGCTGTTACTGGCTACTTCTGTCCAGGCTTTCCTGTGTTTAATCAGGTACAAGGGGAACTGAGTGGCTTTTCCTTCGTACTGCTCCTGGAAGAAGAAAAACGAACAAGAGAGGCACAGAGAGATAGGTCAGGATGAGAACAAAGAAGTGTCGTGCATGACAGCACAGATTCGGTGGTTCTCCTTTGCTGATGCAAGCCTCTGCTGCAGTGTTGCTTATTGTAATAAATTTGTACCTGGTGTTGTACCTGGCCCCAGTGCTGAGCTGTAGGTAAATCACAGACACTCCTTCTTAGGATTTGCACAGATACCATGCTGTATAGTGGCATCATTTTATAATTTGATTTAAACATAAATTTGACAAGCATTCCAGAATATCTGTAAAATGCTTATCAAAAAGAAAGAAAGAAAAGAAGGAAAGCAAGAAAGCATTTTAACACCTGCTTTCAGCAAGCCCAGTTACTTCCAAGTGCCAGCACTACTCAAAGACTTGGGATTTTGTTTTTGCAAAGTCTGATTTTATTTTCAGTCTAACATCAATCAGCACAGTGAATCAATCAGAAAGGATCCATCCCAAGGGAGCCTCAGACACCAAGCCCAGTTCTGCCCTATCCAGGTTGATTTATCACGTTCCTTAAATGATTCATCAATACCTTGAATGGTTACTGGTGACTGGTTTTGCTGGAAAAGCCAGATCGTTAAGGGGGGATGTGAGAATCTGGCAGGGGACTGTAGGTCTACTTAAAATCTGTTAGGTCAAGGCAGATGAACAGACTTTGGATTTCTAGGAACATGGCTCATGTAAGTAAATACAGTTACTTAGTTTCTGCAGGGGTTTTGGTTTTCCTGTCTCTGTTTTGCTTGGCTGATAGTGGAAGGCTGTTGGTGGTGCCAATGGATGGGAGTCACTGGCTCAGCATGCGCTCAGTGCTGGCAGCCCTCAGCCAGAAAGAGCACGAAATTGTCGCACCAGAAGTAAACTTGAACGTGAAGGCAGCTGAATATTACACTCTCAAAACGTATCCAGTGCCTTTAACTAGGGAAGAACTGGGAGCAAGCATGCATTCATTTGCTAACGATCTTTTTGAGAGAAGACCTTTTCTTCAAAGAATTACTGCACTATGTGAAAAAGTTCAAGTCATCTCCGGTCTCTACGTCTCCTCCTGTACCAGTTTACTGCACAATAAGGATCTGATGCAATATCTTGAAGGGAGTAAATTTGATGCTGTTCTCACGGATCCTGTTGTACCATGTGGACAAATAGTGGCTCTGCATCTCTCTATCCCATCTGTTTTCTTTTTACGGGTACTCCCCTGCAGTTTTGATTTGGAGGCTACCCAGTGTCCAGATCCCCCTTCCTATGTCCCAAGAACATTTACAGACAACTCAGACCACATGACATTTATCCAGCGCGTGGAAAACTTATTTCTGAAATCATCAGAATCCTTTCTTTGCAATTTTGCCTATTTGCCATTTGAACTTCTGGCCTCAGATGTTCTTCATAGACCAGTAACAATGAAGGAGCTCTTAAGCCATGGATCTATTTGGCTTAAAAGAATGGATTTTGTTTTTGAGTATCCCATGCCAGTGATACCCAACATAGTTTTCACTGGAGGTATAAACTGTGGAAAGAAAAAGCCATTATCTCAAGTCAGTGATTTCCTTAATAAAATATATTAAGGTTCGAAGGGAAAATGTTGTTTGCAAATGCTCTGTGTGTATATAATTGTATACATGAGTTTGTGGGATTTATACGTGCAGTAAGGTATACTGTAGAGACAAAGAAAATAGGTGAAAAACTGGGTTGATTTTAATTCTCTCCCACTCTTGCAGGTACTCTTCTATAGCATTAGCAGGATCTAAGCATTTTTGCTTACACAATTGTTTTCTTTGGGCTAGGTGGAAGTAGTTTATCACTGTACTCTTGCTAACGAGGCACATACTCACCAGTGAGGGTGATCCCTGTCTTACCAGGGAGGTCTGCTACTTGTATTTGCCAGATTGGTATTATTACCTGAAACTATTTGTTTTACTGTCACAACTGATTTTTAAAAACAATGAATCTTTTCAGTTAATAGAACCATCCTTTCATAATTTAGAAATAAAGTGTCATAACGTGTCAGTCGGTAGGTAATGTTCTGGTTGCTTTGTCAGTCTAGGTTTATCCTTTCACCACATGGATTCCTTACAAAATGTTCTGCAAAACTGTTGGAGATTAGATTTGTGTAACTGCTAGCCAGCACTGAGCATCTGCAACCGCTTACACTGCCTTCTGAAAAGTTTCCCTA